AAAATAAAAAAAAGTATGATTATGTTTCTGTGAACTGACCCACTAAGATCTGAAATGACAAAACTCATATTTTGGTATGGAGGACATTCCCTAACCCACAAACCACCATAAATCTCCACCACTGTCTGGGCACATACTGGCTGGCTCTGGGGAGCAGTGGGAGTACCAAAACACAGGTAAACTTTTTCACAAATGGGAAGAATGAGATTGTAGTTGAATAACTGCTTGCAAGCAAGTGTGTAGAAAACTTCAGTATTGCAGGCATGCTTTGTACCCCACATTTTCATTATGTACATTTGTTACAGTGGTGAATCTAGTGGAGTAACGATGGGGCGGGGCCCTGTGGCTCTCCGAGACTGGGGGCCCTTTTGGAGTCCCGGTCGCAAATTCCATTGTGAGATTTTAGATATACCACTTTTTACATCATGTTTGTCATTGTATTACAGCAATAGTTTTAACAACAAAATAAATGATATCAGCGGCAGACCCAGGAATTTGAAATGGGGGTGGTGTAGAATTTGTTACAGTACGGTAGTGAATCCAGTGGTTTAACGATGGGGCCGGGGCCTTGTGGCTCTCTGAGACTGGGGCAATTTTGGAGTTCCGGTCGACAATTCTATTGTGAGATTATAGATCATGTTTAATCATGTTTGTCTGTCATTGCATTAATGTTTTTTAACAAAATAAATGATATCAGTGACAGACTTTTAAATAGAAGGGGGTGGGGGAGGGAGAATTTGTTACAGTAGTGAATCCAGAGGTGTACCGATGAGGCCGGGGGCCCTGTGGCTTTCTGAGACTCTGGGACCATTTTTGAGTCCCGGTTGCCAATTCCGTCGAGATTTTAAATTTGCTCCTTTTTTAAACATGTTTGTCATTATATTAATGGTTTTAACAACAAAATAAATGGTGTCTGTGGCAGACCCAGAAACTTGCAATGGTTTGGCTGAGGTAAGAAAATTTGTTTGTGGCATCTCTAGATGCCTCGAAATGGCACTCACAGTGTTAAAACTTGAATATAACTTTCTTTCATATCCTCCATTCCTTTTTCCCCCAAAATTCGACAAATTTAGGAGGCCCGTGACAGCATAGCCCCCTTTAATCTGCCACTAGATATAATACATCATACAGTAGATGACAGAGACACATTTTGCTATTACGTACCAACAAAACTCTTTTGGATGGGTGCTAGATCGAGGACCATATGGGTAGGGGGCCCTTTGAGCCCCTATAGGTTGAGGGCCTGCAGACTGCATCAAAATAGCTCGTGTTGCGTAGCTGGGCAAAATGAGGAATTTGTATTAGGCAGTGCCCAGAGAGACTTTCATATATGATCCAAGGACCTTTCAGCCCCACCATATTTGGGAAAACCATGAAAATTGTATGATTATGGCACTCCAGATGGCCTGAAGTGGCACTCTAAGCCTGAAATTTGAATTACTTTTTATTTTATATTTTGAAAATACCCCCTCCCCCTCACCTCCCTTTGAACCTGCTACTGTGCAGTTCTGGATCTGGATGAGTCAGCAGGTTTCAACCTTGGTCATTCACTATGTTAATTACTTTGATTATATGTCAAAGTATTACTGCATAAAATGTTTAGTGAATGAACTGTATGAACAACAGATGAGTGTGTGCAGTGAGTATGCAGTATTTTTAAGCCCTGTCCCCATGAAAACATGTGACATGCCTAAATATGGTCATGTGACATCACATCACGACCCTATATAGGCACATCAGGCCTATATATGGGCATACAACAGTTTTTTGTCAAATAAAATCTGATAGTGAGGACAGAGCTACAGACATTAAAAACAAAGAAATGAAACACAAGAAACATAATTTCCATGCGTAGTTATCAATAACTTATTTAAATAGTCTTACTGGTACAAACAGCGATGGGCTATATTATCATAAACATAACAAGATGATAATGTATTGAAACTCAAGTCGATTTTTACAAGTCTATATAAGATTAAAAATAATATGAATATAGGTATAACAAATAAAACAAACCATAACAAATGGTATTCATAATCAATATTTCATCTAATAACATAAAATGTCATCAAAATAATATCAATATATAATGCTATTAATAATGATAACCATCATTATGTGACAATATAACAAAATCATTTAATATTAAAATAATTATGATGATATAGAAATTGTAATTATTTCAATGAATGATAATTAATTTTAATATGAGTATTGATAATGATAACACATCACACCGAGTAATCATTGTCACCACATATGATATCGTACAACACTCTGGAACATGGCCCATATACACCAAAACTGTATTAGATGTACTGTTTATACATATACAGTTCTAACAAAATTCATATGGTTATTGGAGGTTTAATGGGAAAACCCAAAATCACCAAGTTATTAATATATCAGCAGAGGTAACACTTTCTAACATTGTGTTAAACTTTACAATATAAAAAAAAAATGATATATTTATTTCTTGTCAAGATAATTTACTTTTAACAGCGAATGAATAAATAAATACTTTGTTTTTCCTTAAAAGAATACATGTCATTGAATATTTCCATAGAATTGATTCGTTCAGAATAACAAAATTATATATATTACTAATTACCAAGAAGATCAAGAATATTTGAAAATTTAAAGAAGTTTACTAATTTTATATAATTTGAGAACTGATTTAGCATAATCAGGTACATCATTTCTCATTAAAAAAATGACATATTATTACGTAACTGAGTATGCTAAATCAGTTTTCAAATTATATAAAACTTCTCCTTAAAGAATGTATCTTAGTATAGACCTACTAAGATGGTTTAGTTATCAAATACCAAAACACCCAATTTCATTTTCAAAGAGAAAGAATGCAACAGATAATACTCATAAATAAATAAAAGATAGGTATTCTTAATCAATCCAACAAAAAAAAAAGGCACCTTTCAAATTTTCTTACTTTAATTGAATACAAATATGCAAAAAAAGATTTAATAATGGCAAAAAATAAAACAAATAAAAAAGAACTTGAAAACTATAAATAGTTGTAGGTACAACTTGCATTAACAGTCAACAATCAAGGCACAGTTGATCTCCTCGCCAAACTCTATGCAACACTCGTCGTCGTAAAACCCTGTCGGAATTGTATCATTTCTTTGTATTCATTTTACTACAAAATTAAATGTCTGTACATATCCACATAATCTATATACATAATATTTACATATTCTATGCAGTACATGTAACAAACGCACACCAAACACACTCCGTAGTCCTTATTTCTCTCTCCGGGGCGTCCGATAATGGAAAGTTAGCGAACAAGAAAACCAATATTCTACAAAGTTTCAACACAAAAAAGATTGAGCACAAATTATTAGAAAAAAAACCATTTAAATATAATAATTTTGATCATGTTGAGCTCTACATTTTTGCTACCAGATAGAAAAAAACAATTTGGTTTTGGCTTTACTACTACCGTATGATGACGAGTGTGATGAATTCATTATTTGGCATTCACATTTGTGGTTGCAGTCAGGAAAGAGTTGCATCACACCATATGTAACCCCAAACACAACATACTATTTAATATCAGTGCCATAATAAATCACATCTTCCAAACAAAGGAACTTCTGTATTATACACACAATAACTCATTTCTTCTATTATTTTGCAAAAATTATTTTGATAAAACATACAAATTCAATATTAGACTATTTTTTCCACTTTCCTTCTTTGTTAACAAGCAGAAGAAAAACAATTTCAGACAATATGGAAGAAAAAGTGGAACCTACTGATGAAAATCTCCTACATGAATGTAATTTATGAAGTCTGTCTATATATTCATGTACCCAAACGAAAGACATTTGTTTTAAAGTAAATATCCTTTGAACAATAATTTAGAAATGAAAATACATTCTAATATACAGTACTCAATATCTCCTGTTCAAAATCTCTTCAAAACTAAAAAAAAAAGGCAAGGCAAGAAAATATAGTAGCATATGGTTCTGTCATTTTCTTATATCAGAACAAAGCTAATGAACTAATGACTAATACACTGAGATTGGTAAATATTTCAAATAGAGAGCATTTTTACAAACTACAAGAATAGCAATACCTTGTCATTCCCATCATTTCAAGTTTAATAACAAAAGAAAATAAATCCCAAATCTATCAGCATCTACAAAAAACAAATCAACAATAGGCTGTTTAGACGGTCTTCTGTCGTAAGACAAAGTATGCAGATGTATAATAATACGCACATGTTACTTCATCCAAGTGATGTTTATGCAGGGCAAAAGTGATAATTACTTCAAAGCTATTTTGAAGATTAAAAGCAATTATGCACTACTTCCGAAGAGATAAGCAAACACAAACACAAACTAATATTTTTGGAGATATTTTATAACAATTATGTAAAGATTTTAGCTAAACACATTTACACACAGAAAAATGATTTTTGGCACTCATTTGTAGGTAATTAACCGAGGTTATAACTAAGGTCACATTTAATTGTGTAATAGTGAGAATTTGGTGAACACTCTTTACATACCTTGATATGCACAGTAGCACCCAAGGTAGGACTTTTAGGAGTACACAAAATTGTCTGAAGCAAGCCAGAAGTAGCTCAATATAGAGTGCCTTTACAGGCACTACCCAGGGCTTACGACTGGTTGACTTCTACTTAAATGACTTTACTTCAAGCTTACTTTGTATTTGTCTGAACGTAACTATTCTGTAAGCATTTAAGTAGAGATTTTCTTGCATAAAAATAATTTTCTACTTATAACTAAATATCATAGAGTCATAAAAATACTATAAGCTTTGAATATACGATAAAGAATAAACTTTGTACTTTTAACTGCATACTACGTACCATACTATGATTGTGTAGACTCATATTTCATACGAGTAGTTCTACTGTCTTTGCCCTTGAAGCATACAATTTGGGATCTGTCTCTTATACACATCTAGATGTGTATAAGAGACAGCATAAAATGTCATCAATATATATGCACCTATCATACATATTTTAAAAAATAGGCATAAAACTTGACATAGGCATCTAGTCAGTAGTAGTAGTAGTAGACCTAGACTGTCATCTTGAAGTTTATAACCCATTAAAAATCACATAACCGAAGCACCGTGTCAATGTCTAACTTTTGGATGAAGCATGGAAAAGAGGTGTCAATATTTCTTTATGCATATTTAAACAAATAAATAAACCGGTCCACTATAACATATATACTGTATCTTTGAACAATATTCTACTGTATTTTCAGATTTACTGTTTGTTTGGAACATTTAGAGGGGAAAAAAGAAAATCAAACTAGAGATTTGGAAAATAAAAACAATCCCAAATGTTGAATAGAACCTGATTTTTCAGGTTAGAAAGACTTGTTGGCATATCAAATATAATGGCTAATTTGGACTACACAAAAATGCCAACATAGGTATAATAAATGACAAACAATTCTACTGTATACAAATAAAAACACTGAAAAAATCAATTCCTTGAGTTGTCCCATGCATCAAAGATATCTCAAAATTTCATATCTAAACTCCAAATCTATTTTCCAACAATAATGAAAGTTCACTAAACTCTTCCTACTACATGTATATATTTCAGGGCATTCGTTGACACTACAGTTTATATTGGTTCTTTGGCATGATATAGTGTAAAGCTCAACAAATCTGAAGCCTGTCCTACACTAGCTAAACATATCATAATGGAGTCTGTGTGCTGAATACATGGCAGTATTTGGTAGCAGTTATGTATGTACATACATACACAATGCAATATGCACTAAATCATAAAATTGAGATCTGTTTTCCAGATATCATTGCATAGGTTTGCATTCCAGATCTTTCTTAGTTCCATATGTGTGCATGGCGGCATCCATGCTGATTCTATGTATTACACCATATATAATTATGTAGATATATGGCATTGGCGTGTAGTATTTATAAAACATATTGTATGTAGAGTGATGCATTTATATAAGTATGCATGAGTAGTATGATGCATGTACTGTAAGCAAGCAAGTAGACATGCTTGCTTCAACTTGGAACTCTCTGCACAGGAATGTGTATCTGTATACAACACACATGTGCACATACATATGCATGCACATGGATGGAAGCACATTAACATATTTATATGCAAATGTAGGTATATTCATATAATAGGTACTATGCACTACAGTATGTGTATTTATCTGTTGAATACTTTTACAGCCTTCACAAATGAGGAATCGACAATGGTGTTTCCTATGCAGTCTTGGTTTGTCTGTTCATTAAGAGGCACAAATCACTGAAGGTGTGGAATTCAGTGTGGAAACTTTGATTACGTTTCAACTGAGGAAACTAATGCTTTTGTAAAAGGCACTAAGCTAATGAGTCAGCCTAGGTTTTTGATAACTTAGTTTCTACATGATAACTAAATAAGGCATGACGGAAAGTTGAAGGGAAGCCAAAGTTGTGTGTGGCCTTCAACATGGCTTCAAATAGCTGGCCAATTCCTTTAAGAATTACATAAGAAATGACTTGGTAGGAACAGCACATAATGTATCTGGAAATCCAAGAAATTATAAACAATTAAAATTACTGCAATTTTGCCACAAGCTCTGTTTGCTTAATTCAGTAATTTATATCTAGAAATTTAATTTTTAAATTATGGTAATAAGTGATATTCTAATCTACCTAAAGAAACAAATAATATGTATACTATATATTATAAGAATGATAATATCATTCATGTGTTGAACGGTCACTGAGGGCCAAAATGCAATCAAAAACCTGGAAGACCTACAATGGAGGTGACCCGACACAAGAGGGCCTCCATAGCATTCAGTACTTAAAGCATTACATTTGGATAGACTAAACAAAGATATTATTAACATTAATACAATTTATAATAATTGATTCAGTTAAATTTAATTTCTTTTTTTTTTGTAGAAACACCTCAATAAAATTTCAATCTCAAAGAGAATACTTCTGTGTCCTTAACCCAACTTTTAACCTGCAGAAGGATAAATACATGATAAAATCTAAAATATTTGCTTATTATGATAGTTTCAACCACTAATTACAGTTGTAATACAAGTGCAACAACATTGTAACTAAAACCTTGCATCCAATATTCACATACTCTTGTACACAATGGTATTTTTTTTAATTAATGTAGGAACAAACATACCCACATGCACACACTCACAAACTTAGAGACACAGGCACTCGCGCACACACAAACATACTCAGATGATGGGAATTCAGTCAATGGCAGTACCTCATCCAATAAAGTCAGCCATAATTAGGATGTTGTGATTCAATCCTGTCTCCAGGTACAGTTGTAAGCAGAACCAATAAGTAGACAATTCATGAAATACTTAATGAGACATCTTTCTCAAACTGTCAAATCCTTCTGTTTAGCTCCCTGATTATATCTACATATTTGTTTGCATATTTTGTCATACAGCTACATGCTTGCCTCCACATACACCACATTTTACACCAACCTTATGGCACGCCCTCAGCGGTAGATAACAGAAGAGACAAGGTAGGCATAGTGATATTGCCGAAAGGGCAGTCCATTTTTTACAAAATCCATCTTGCCTCGGATCACATGAACAGCCTTCGCTATAGTCATTTTCCCCGTCGGAGCAGCAGTGATACTGCAAGCCTTCAGCAAGGCAATAACATGTCAACTTCTCTATACAGTGCAACGTACTGTCCGGGGCATATTGACACTGTCCTCTTCGATTTTGACGTGGATCAAACACATTCAAACAATGGACACATCGTTCTTGTCGAACTTTGGGGTCAACTTTGAAGTTTTTATCTGGCAATAACGGTGGTAATGAGTTTTTTGGTTGTGTTGCAATAGGATGCCTTTCACTAAACTTTGATGTATTCAAGGTTGGGTAACTGTAGTCATGTCTACTTGGACAATTTTTGACAAATTGTACATAAGAATCCTTTGGTCCACTTGAAACTTTACATGGCTGATCACGTACTGACTGCCATTCGGGGTGACTTTTGACCCATACCTCTTTCTTGACCATCCGCCTTGGCAGATAATGCACTCTATGTAAATATTCGTACTGGTTACCGTCACTGCGAGGAGGTTGCGTAATAACATTTTTTAGTGTACTTGTGTAACTGTCCAATGGACGTGACGCAAATAGTGGTGGTGTATTTTGGTAGTCATGGATGGGACTTGGTGATAACAAAGGTTCAACAGGCTGTGGAAAAGAAGATTGAAAGTAAAATTGGGTTTAAACAAAAATATTAAACATTAATAAAATAATAATAAAAATAACAACAACAACAACAACAACAACAACAACAACAATAATGCAGGTACTTATATAAATCAATGATATCATAACGTTTTACATATAAACATTACAGTATTTTTGAAAAAACAATTTATTTTTGGCGCAACCACCATTTTTTAACATTCAAAAATTTTATTTTAAACCGTTCCGGATATAGCAAAAATGTATTTTTCTGCTAGCAGCTGTCATACACGGGCAGTGTAAGGGTTGCATTTTATTATTCGATCATCAAGGGTTTAAGGCTACGAAAAATAATAAAAACAATTTAACTTACGACAAACACATCATCATCACCAAGTTCATTATCTGTCACCTGATTTGTTGACGACTCTGTTGAAGAACCTGCAAAAAATATATACATGAAATGCTAATAAAATTTTATATAATTACGATGTCAAATTAATAATTAGTAATTATTAACATGCATGTGTATGTACATAGGAAGAGATGCTTCGTTAAACAGCTCCTTTGTACAAGAAAAGAAATTTTAATAAATATAAATATTTGAATAAATAGGGTAAGCAAAATATAATTGAGAGTGAGGGCAGGCTTCAGAGATATGGGCTTATGAATAAATGATGACAACACGGTTCCGTAAACAGGTTACTTTGCACTTGTTTAAAAGCGTATTTTTATCTATGAATTTTACGTAATGGTATATTTGTAGCAACATTTAAATGAATGCCTTTTGTCTGTTTGGAGCACAGTATGTACTTAGGCAGTGGCCTATTGTACAGTAGTTACCATTGGATGCAATTGGCAGGTCTCACTGCTTGACCCAATTCTGTGTTCAATATGCAATCAGGGTGTGAATTTTTATCTATTATGAGTGCATTCTACCATGAAACTATTGTTAAAATATCTTTAGTGGGTAGAATTGGTAAAATAAACATATCACAGATTGAATATTCCATGTTGAAGGTATTTGCTATATTGCCCTTCAATACCTTTCAATAAAAGAGAATTGTGGTGTTGGGATGTTTGTAGATGGAGGGAGAGAGATGAAGTGGGTAATGATCATGTTGGTATCAAAACAAAATAGATATAAAGCAAGATTGACATGCAAGACTCTTTAAAAAAAGAACATTTATATTCAATAGATGAACAGATGTTAGATTTTAAGTAATTCAACAAATAGGTATCTGATGATTATTGATGATTATGCTATAGGTAAGTGATCTACAGTATGCAGAATCGAGCTTTATAACACTAATTAACGACCTTGAGATTATTTAACATAAGGCTTTATAAACCAAGAATTATTTTTACGATTATCATCATTACTGTTTTTATTAAATACAGTACATGTCAGTGCCCACACTTCCTTAACTATGACCTTTTATTGATCACATCCAAAAACACTAGAACTTCAAACATACCAGTATACCATTTTTCCCCTTACTATGATTCATAGTATTTTAAAAAACACTTGAATTCAAAAACATCTGTGATATTTACTATAATAACAATAATACTCAAGGACTACCAACTGAAGACTTTTGGGACCTAATGTTCAGACAATTTTTTTCTTAAAATTAGGTCAACAAACAAGTGTTTAAACTATTCATATTATGTATTACCACTCAAACATATTTGTATAAATTGAGGGCGCCATATTTATGATTGATTGATGAAGGAATGTGTTGAATTACTTAAAATGGTAGTATTTTAAAAGTATTTATTTCTATATTTAGTCATGTAATATTTGGCTACGTAAAATAAATTTTATAAGTTAAGCTCAAATTTAACATTTAAAAATACCTTACACTGTAATGCTAACAATTTAGGTCACCATAACTTAAGCATTAATATTTACTACCAAGATATACAATCATAAATAAAGAAGTAGATAATACTCTACAGGACAAGATATTAATTAAGCACATGGTAAAATTAGTGACAAATGTTAGCCATTTGATATCCATTTCCTTTCTCTATACAGTACAAGCTATCCCTTCATCTGCATAGTGAATTCTTTAAGAATTTTTGAGCTGGTCCCTACTTGCTGTTTCTTTCCTGTTTAAACCTGGGATGTTCTTGCCTTCCTGAGAACAGATGACACACTCACTATATTGCAAATTTGTTGTCTGCTTGTTTCCCTCCTAATCATTAGTTTTCTGATTAACTGAACCAATAGGTACCATACTGTACAGGTACATTAGTGAGATACTATATCTGTAATTACCATTTAAATACCAAAAATGGCACCATGACAAAAATTCACTGGTTCTTATATAAAAAAGCTGTACTTTATATATACTAATATGCAAAAAAAAAGAAAAAAAATGACAATGTCAAATTGGGAATCATAGGCTACAATATTTTAATTCATCAAATATATAATTTATTAACATTCCCTCTATAATAATAATATAGTTTAATTAGTAAAAATGAGAATCATGGCAGAATATCATTATAGGTTTGGTACACTATCAAAGGTAATAGAAGAAATCTGGTGTAACTCTCTTCCCAGTGGGATGTAAGAATTTAGCCCCTGTACAGGATTGTAGCTGTAGAAAACTAAGAGTGGTAGTTGACGTTTTAAGGGTGGATTTTAAGCATGGGCAAGGGGGTTCATAAAGGTGGGTGGAGGGCTATGATATTTAATAGCTTTAGACTGGGTGGAAACTTCAAGGCTGGGTGGTCCCGCCCACCTCAAACCACCATAACTACACCCCTGCCTTTATGTGGTGATTCCATTTTTCCATAGCAATTCTGCAATTCAGGGCTGTTTATAAAAAGCATGAATATGTGTGTATTTGGTCTGATGATAACATACTGAAGCAATAACAGAGTATCAGTCAGTCTCAATCACATCACTGGTTGCCATTAGGAAACAAGTACAATGTTTATTTCCCAACAAAGTAGTAAGTTCATGACCCTACTGACAAATAAGACTGCCAGATAATTTCCATAAGTTTTCAATGATGATTGATATAATTTTGAGATAAGCATTTAGACATTTCCATAATAATGCATGTTTCAGTGGAAAACCATGGAAGAAAGAAGATGGCTTCCAACTAAGTTGTTTTTGCATTTTAGAATGTATACTAAACACCACCCACAACAAAGTTGCACAATATAAATAAGCATTTTAGAATGTATACTAAAATTAACATCACCCACCACATGGTTGCACAATATAATTAACACTACTAACTGTACATAAAAAATAAATTGATTTAATCTACTGTAATATGGTGAAAAAGTACAAACTTACTGAAACAATAAAAAGCTCAAAAATAGTTTTAGTATTGTAATGTAAACATGAAATTTTAACTACATTAGCTGTGTTCAAAAGACCATTCAATATCTAATGTACTGTAAAGCATGAAAATTCAGTCAAGCTTATGCCGTATTGTGTGTCCATCGTATAATTGCTGATCCCACACTATAAATAATGGAAAACTGGAAGTTGCGCGATTTCTATTGACCCCATGATATTTGAAACGATGAGGAAAAAAAAGAGCTGATATTTGAGCATTACTTGGCTGAGTTATCTACAAACATGCCAGCAGATGAGTATATGAACACCAAAATTGAAGAAAGGCAAGAATGGCCTAGTAGTATAATTTAATTTTAATGGAATGTGTTTACAAATATTCTTACTAATTATAATTGTCTTCACACAAGTGGATTCAAATCTTGCCAAAATTTGGTATAATGTTGATTTTGTTTAGTTGAGGGGGAAAATTGCTTATTTGCCTCCTAGGGCTATCACTATTTGACATACATGAACATGCAAAGCATAGGAGAGACTACATTAATAAAAAAAAATCGTAATGAACAATTAATATTACATTATGGATATTTGAATAAATTTTGGACAGAGATAGCTAGGCAGACACTAAGAATTACAGGCACAGAGCCTACTAAGCATCTCAAGAGTATTACAGGCTTCCGCAAAGTCTGGTTTTCTTAAATGGATGCTACACGGGACAAGTGCTGCTAATTTCACATGGATGTGCTTTCATACTGACGCAATGTAGCAGGGGACGCTTCCCTGGCACGTGTCCCGTATTCAACAATATATCTCATGTGAATTGGGCATTAGTGAAGTGTACCTAGCATAGGCCCATGTACATGACATTTTTGTCATATCAATACACTACAGTAGATAAAACATGGACAAAATCCAGAAGCTAAAGATTTGTATATTTGCTAGCTAAGGAAACTCCCAGCTTCTAAAACTGAAAAAATATCAAATATTTACATAGTTCTATTATTTTTTTTAAATAGTTTGCCATCAGGGCAAAATATAGACAGTTTACATAGTAGAAATATTAAATGCACGATATTCTACAAGAGACAACATTTATTTAATATTTTATAACTGAGATAACAGCACTACAAAGGACATAAAACAAGACCCTGATTTATTAAATGTGAACCTAATGACACAGTATCTGAATATTAATAACTTTAATCTAATAAGAATAGCAATCCAACAATTTTATACATTTGTAATGAGCATATTTATCTTTCATTTATTAATGGTTACAATGCTGAGGTAGCAAAATATCAAAATATTAGAACAGTTATCATCTTATTGATATAATCACTTAATTACTCAACTTTAAAATTATTCCAATAGATCCCCTACTGTAATTATGTGGCAAAAAGCCTAGTAATGTGTAAAAATGGAAGTCATTTAAATTAAAAATTAGGAATTAACTAAAAGTAAGGAAACAGCTGTTTAGTAATAAAATGGGAATCATTTTTGAAAAGGAATACCTATACTATCCTTACATTAGAGAACATTATCACAAATCCATAACACACAGTTCTTCTATCGTATGAAATTTTGATATCAGACAAGTATATAAATAGCATAATACATTTGTGCGTCCCTGTAATTTTTTTGTCATGTGTTTCTATGGCTATTGTATACAAACTGCTGACACAAGTAATTAAATTGTCAATACATCCTGTACCACAGCATGCAGGAATCAAATATGTAATAAGCAACTGCTGAATCTTATTTTGTATGGTATCTTGACTTAAAGGGACAGATCAAGAGCAGTTTGGTAAAGTTTCATTTATGTACTACTGTATCAAATTTGAGAATAACTACAGTAATAAAATCACCTTTTCCATTGAATGAGACCTTTATGAGAGCCAAGCTTCCTTTGCAGACAAGGCTCAATTATATCAGGTTAATAATTGCATAATTTTGGCACCTTCTCTTGATTAAACAGACAACAAATTACAATCTACCGCCTCCAGTAACTTGCGCAAAAATGCCATTAAAATAGATGAAAATTGTGCATCTTAAGCCATGTTGGCTTTGGATTAATTTTAAACAAGATGAAGAGTAATTTTACCTTGGTCAAATCCTACTG